AGTCCTAAAATTAATAGTATGGAAAATCACTAAAAGCTGTACAGCATAAGATGTGTTTAACTGGGAAGGGTGATAATAATAGGTACAGGAGGACCAAACTTTAGATTATAAATATTAATAGAAAGTTATATGTTATTTTATATTAGAATGTATCAGTATTGCTATTTATCATTTATATAGCATTTTATATTTGCAAAGTGTTTAATAACTTTTATGTTATTCTTTACATATCTATGAAATAGGACAGTTATCCCACAGGAGAGATAAAGAGATTGAGGCCCAGAATGGTAAAATGGGCTACTTAAGAGAATCCAGTGAAACAATGGCAAAAATAGAAATTAGAATGATCAGGTTTTCTGAAGCTTAGAACATCAGCTTAATTCACTGAGGTATATTGTGTATCACTCTATTTTATAAGACACTTTTATACAAATAACAGTCAATTGTTTTAAAGCTTACATCATTGTATGTGGATAAATCCTATACAGAATAAATGTTATGTAAAGGATGTAACTTTAGTTACAAGAGTTGCGATGATAAAATTCAGATTATCACAGAATTGGCAGTATTTAGTCAGTTGTTTTATATATTGTGAAGTATAATTAATATTTTATTTTGATACAGGAGTTTCTAACTGTTCATGCTAATGGAGTCATGAATAGACTAGAAAAATGAAATCCAAAGAGAATCTATAAACTTTATTTTCATGTCAGTCTTCTCCCTACAGAACTGTATTAATGCCACCAAAAAGGCAAATATTTAAGTATAATGTTAATAAATAATAAACCACACATAGCAAGAGAAGCAAAGGGACTCTTGAAGTAAAAATATTTTGAAATTACTTAAATAGTATGATAAAGACTTTCCCCATTCCTTTTTGTTTTTCACATTAGCAAAAGCCATTGCATACTTTATCACCTTTAAATAGGAAACCAAACACCAGGGAAATGCCAGGCACCTCTTTATCTTTGGGCTTGATAAGGTCATTTGCAAGCATGATTATACTGAATACAGCTTATAAAGTACATCTGAGGCTTTATTATACTCGGTCTGCCTTGGTCTTTCAGATTTCCAGATACACTATTCCAATATATAGTTTCTTGATTTTCCCACTAGGAAAAGCTTTTATTTCCTTGTTTATATTACTTACAACTACTTAATTCCTTTATTAAAGGGTGACTTATTTTTATTCAGCCCATAAGGGGAAAAAAATGAAACATTTCTGCCTAGACTGGGGCTTCTCAACCTTGGCTACACATTAGAATCACCTGTGGAGCTTTTAAAACTCAAATGCCTAGGCAAATCAGAATCTCTGACAGGTGGGGCTTGGGCTTAAGTATTTTTTAAAAGCTTCCCAGTGTTTCTGATGTGCAAAATAGGGCCCCTATTCAAGGTTTTCTTTCTGTCCTCTCCGTACAGATGCTAGGGAGGGGCAGTAGGACCATTTGACCTTCCCAGTCCACTGGTTCTCAACCCTATCATTAAGGAAAAATTTAAAAATACAGATGCCCAGTCCAGGAAAATATTAATTATTATAAAATTTGAAGACACTGAAATAGATAGTCCATTATCTATATTCCATTATAGATATTCCGTTATCTAAAGTTTTTTATTAGGGACAAATAATATGGTCACTCTAATAAAATAGTGTGTAGTCTTAAAATAGCCCATTTTTACTTTGAGATGCATTTGCATTTTACTTGATTATGGGTGTTGGTTTCTGGGAACTCACATAGTACTTCAAACTAATAAAAGAACTATACTATATTATGAATACATGACTGAAATACTATATCCTGCAATTTTGCAAGCTTTAATGTTTTCTATTAAAAGAAAGAAACCAGAACAGTCAAGCATCATGAAGCTCAATTGCTACATATTCCATAAAGTAATTGAATGAAATCAATTTTTAGTTCCAGATTAATGTAATATTAGAGAAGTAGGACAGTACTAAGATGTATTATTTAAAGAAGCCTTTAGGCCAGGTGTGGTGGCTCACGCCTGTAATCCTAGCACTCTGGGAGGC